GGAGGGGTGGGGGAAAAGGAAAGGGCTTTGAACTTTTTTCCCCCAGGCTGGATGTGAGGCAGAGCCCAGCTGTCATTGCCCGCCCTCACTGTGCAGCTGGCTGACCCTCCCCACACCCACCAAGTCCTCTGAGCCTTGCACGGCCCGCCAATGCCCCGGCCAATGGTGACCCATCCTAATGGTTGCAGGAGGTGGCTGGTGAACCCCTGTATATGCTCCTCCGCGCCATCCAGTACCAGGTGGATAAAGGTCCTGTGGATGCCGTAACAGGCAAGGCAAAAAGGACTCTGAATGACAGTCGCCTGCTTCGGGAGGATGTGGAGTTCCGGCCCCTAACATTGATGGTGCTGGTGGGCCCTGGGGCTGGTGGGGCTGCAGGGAGCGGCGCGGTGCAGCGCGTGCCCGCCCGGGTGCTCGACACGGACACCATCACCCAGGTCAAGGAGAAGGTGCTGGACCAAGTCTACAAGGGTACCCCCTTCTCCCAGAGGCCTGCTGTGCACGCCCTAGACCTTGGTGAGAGAGCCTGCCTGCCCTCCCTTCTTGGGTTTGTTCCACCTCTACAGGCTCAACTCTGCCTTGCTCTGAATGGCAGACTCGGGGAGGGGAATGGGCTGCAGGCTGATTGGCTTCCCTGGGTCCCTCCAGAATGGCGCTCGGGCCTGGCTGGTCACCTAACCCTGTCAGATGAGGACCTGACCTCGGTGATTCAGAATCATTGGAAGAGACTCAACACCCTGCAGCACTATAAGGTTTGGGGTGGGCGCAGGCTGGGGAGCAGGCCTCCCACCTCTGGATCAGCCAGAGAAGGACCCCAGCCTCTGCTCCCCTCCCCTCCAGGTCCCAGATGGGGCCACAGTGGGACTTATCCCCCAGATGCACAACGGAGGTGCCGTCTGCCAGAGCCTGGCCCAGAGCTGCCACTCCGGGGAGAGTGAGTCCCAAAACCCAGTCATGCCTATCCGCCCCCAGGAACTTGAGGTGGGCAGGCAGGGGTCCTGGTCATGCCATCGCCTGGGTCTCCTCATACCTTGCCAGCAGGCCCAGGGTAGATGAGGGCAGTGGTGTGACCTGGTCAGGGAGCTCCAGTGGCACGGGGTGTTGGGCCGAGCAAGCCCCTGGGCTGCCACCCTCCTTTCCACATCACTACCCTCTGATTTCCGGGCCCCTCCTACCCTGCACCATGCTGCCAAATGGGGCGGGCAGGCAGCAGGAGCACAGGACTGAGGCTGGCATGCGTGTCCTCAGACATCCCCATGCTGGAGGATGGCGAGGAGGGCGGGATCCGCCTCTGGCACCTGGTGAAAGGCACCGAGGAGCTAGAAGGGGCCAAGGTACGGCGCAGCAGCCTGCGGGAACGGGAGCGGGAGCGGGCACGGGCCAAGGCCATCCCGGAAATCTACCTCACCCGCCTACTCTCCATGAAGGTCAGTGCAGCTAGGGATCTGGGCCCCAGGGGAGCCATGTGACAGACAGGAAGGCTCACCAAGGGGCCCCTTACTGAGCCGGGGAGAAGACACAGTCCTGAGAGACTGAGGGGCAGCCCCATACCCACTGATAGAGCCCACTCCCCTTCCTTCCAGGGTACGCTGCAGAAGTTTGTGGATGACACCTTCCAGGCCATCCTCAGTGTGAACCGGCCTGTGCCCATCGCTGTCAAGTACCTGTTTGACTTCCTGGATGAGCTGGCAGAGAAGCATGGCATCGAGGACCCAGAGACCTTGCACATCTGGAAGACTAACAGGTATCTTGCCTGCTGCCCCCATCCCCGTGCAGATGGGACATGAAGGCCCAGAGGAACAAGGGCACTGCCATGGTGAGGGCAGCAGGACCTGAACAGGAACCCAGGCTTGGAAGCGTCAGCTGGATTTCTGGCCACCCCCCCAGCACAAACTCCCAGAACAGCTCCCCGTGGAACTCATGGCTGGGGCCTAGGCTGATGGTGTGTGCTAGACTAGCCGTGCCTCACACCCATGGCGGCCTGTGTCTCCAGCCTGCTGTTGCGGTTCTGGGTGAACACGCTGAAGAACCCACAGCTCATCTTTGACGTACGGGTGTCAGATAACGTGGATGCCATCCTTGCCGTCATTGCCCAGACCTTCATTGACTCCTGCACTGTCTCAGAGCACAAAGTGGGCCGGGTGAGAGCAGAGCCGGCTGTGATGGCAGCCAGGAGGTTAAGGAGAAAAGGCTTGTGGGGGAACCCATGGGGGTTGGGTGCAGAGCTGAAGGCGGGGCTGGGGGAAATGATACATACTGAGGGCCAGGAGGAGGGGGCATTGGTGGCACAGTCAGGGCGACAGGGCCAGAGCTCCTGCAACTCCCCAGTAATACCCACCCCTACCCGGAGCAGGATTCCCCGGTGAACAAACTGCTCTATGCCCGAGAGATCCCTCGCTACAAGCAGATGGTGGAGAGGTAAGTGTCAGGGTGTCATGGATGGGGGTGGACGCTGGCTGCCCATAACTGTGTTCCCTCCTGCAGATACTACTCTGACATTCGCCAGAGCTCTCCAGCAAACTACCAGGAAATGAATTCAGCTCTGGCCGAGCTCTCAGGGGTGAGGCATGGCCCAGGGGTACACCCTTCCACATTTGGGAGATAGGGTAGAAGGGGAGGCTTGGGGCTTGAGGCCCAGGCTGGGGCCTCAGCCCCTCGATGTGCTGCCCCCAGAATTACACCTCTGCTCCCCACTGTCTGGAAGCTCTGCAAGAACTCTACAAACACATCCACAGGTATTATGACCAGGTGAGACCCGGGTTCCCCAGGGGTAGGAGCACCTCCCTGGGGGCAGAGGGGGTGGCCAGGCCCACCACTGCAAGCAGAGGGGAGGAAGGACCCAGGTTGGACAGGGTCTTGGCTTCTGTCTAGATTCCCCAGGGAGGCCAGGAGCAGTCCCCGATGAATCCCCCAGCCACTGCTGAGACAGAAGCAGGGCTGGGTGGCACTGGGCCAGTAGGCAGAGAGGGCTGGGGGCTCATGCATCCTCTGCCCTGGCAGATCATCAATGCCTTGGAGGAGGACCCTGTCGGCCAGAAGATGCAGCTGGCCTGCCGCCTGCAGCAGGTTGCCGCTCTGGTGGAGAACAAAGTGACCGACCTATGAATTCAGTCCTCAGTGGGAGCCTGAGGAGGCCCACCAGCTTGGAGAGCAATGAGCAGGACCCACCACCACAGTGCCTTATGACCCCTGGACCCAGCCAGCAACAGAAGAGAGGGGCTGGCAGAGCAGGGGGGGGAACTCCCTGCAACCCCTCCCCCTCCTGCCCTTCCTCCCCGCCCCGGGCTTTTTTCTAATTTATAGCAATCCCTCCCCCTCCCCCTCATTATATTTATTTGCTTGCTGAAGAATTGCACCTGGAAATAAAATCTGTCTTTTTAGAAAAAGACCAGTTCCCCAGCCCCTTCCTTCCCCCGGAGTCTACACAGCCTTTTCCTCAGCCCATGGCTGTAACTTCTGCTCCTGAGGAAAAAAGAGGGTCATTAGGCACCCCCAGACCTTGCTCTCCTCCCTCCCCTCGCCTCCGCTGGTCCCTGCAGGAAAGGCGCCTCTGCCCTCCTGCTCGCATCTATGCCCACCCCACCCTACCAGCTCTTCTCTAGCGTAAGGACACAGGACCTGACATGTCTCCCATCTCAGGCTAACCACGGTCACTGCTGAGGCCCCGTTTCATCCTGACTCCCTGACAGTTCCCAGCTGAACTCCAGGCTCCACACTTGCCCCCTACACTGCCTCCTGGGGGCAGCCAGAGCGATTCTCCTAAAGAGCAAAAGTGCCCATCAGCCTCTGCCAGAACCACATACCTGCCCACCCAAGGCCTCCCCTACTCTCCCCCACCCCAAGCCAATCTGCGTCCAGACAAGCCATGGAGGTCACCAGCCCCGGAGGTCTCTAGCCCATCCCACTGATGGCCTTCTGCGGACACAGCCCTTTCCCACTATGGAGGCTTTTCCACCCACCCCCTTTCTGAAGACCTGATTCTTCCTGATCCCTCGGATACAGCTCCAAAGTCACAAGTTCTGCCTCACCTGGATATCCCTTTGTCACCAGCCACTAGAGGCTGGTGGGACTCATTTGCTCCCCACTAGAGGAGCACCCCTGAGGGCAGGGCCAGTGTGACAGCTCCTCGTGCCTCCCACTTGGGCACACGGCACGTGTCGGCAGAGACGACGATCAGGACGGGGAAAGGCAGGCCTGGAACAGAGCCGGGAAAGAGACTGCACAGGGTCTCGGTGCCAGAGTCCTCACTGGACAAGTTCCCAGGCTTCCATTTGGCTGGCACCTCTGGTGGGAAGAAGGGGCTGCCTTCGGATCATGCCCCCGACTCTAGCAACACCAGGGTCCCCGTGATCCACGTTCAGAAAAAGAAGGACACAGGTCTCCCACAGTTCTTAGGGGTCAATGAGGCACAGGAAAAGTGGAAACCCAGCTGAGAGTGGGCAGGGAGTGGGGTGTCCATGAGAATATGAAAGGCCCCCTCTGGGAAGGTTCCCACAAGGGCCAAGTGATAAGCCACAGAATGCTCTAGAAGTATCAGTGGTGCTCTGGGTACTGGGGGGTGGAGGGGTGTGGAGAGTGCAGGGTGGTCTTGGCCTGAGGACAGTGTTGCCATGCCCACAGCGTCCTTGCCTAGCTGTCCCCTGCAGCTGGCTCTGGATTTTGAGAACTCAGACAGGGGTCCAGTAGCCATGTCCCCACATGGGTGACCCCCTTGGTCATGGGAGTGTGAAGACTGGGTCACACCCTGTCCCCCAGGTGGCACCCTCTGCCAGCCCTGGGGCAGCAGCAGAGGGCTCATCCTGGGGGCTGGGCTCTCCCAGGCCCCTGTCACAGCACTGCCCCCTCCCCGCTGCATACCTTGCCCACAGCTGAGCAGCTGGGAGGCTATTTATAAAGGCGGGTGAGATCAGCAGCCGGCCAGCCGCTGCGGAGGCTATAAATTCACAGGCCGAGGCCGGGGCCCCAGAGGAGCAACCACCCGGGGTGCCGGGGCACCGGAGGCGGGATGAGCGCCAGTGTGGGCGGTGGGGACAGTGTCAGCGGCAGTGGCAGCAGCAGGTAGGGCTCGGCCCAGGCGCATGGGGGTTCATGGCGTCTCACATGCTCACTGCCTGCCCCACTCGCAGCTCACAGGCTTCCTGTGGGCCCGAGTCCTCAAGCTCTGAACTAGCCCCGGCTGCACCAGCCCCGCGGATGCTGCAGGGGCTGCTGGGATCTGACGATGAGGAGCAGGAGGACCCTAAGGACTACTGCAAGGGTGAGGCCTGGCCTGGAACGCAGGCAGCCAGGTGCCACCATGGGGGGCGGGACAACCCAGGAGAAAAAGGGTGCTGGCATCAGCCCAGGTGGGCCAGGGGGCCAGAAGGGCGACAGCCCCCATGGGGCTCTATTGGCTCCCTTCCCCAGGCGGCTACTACCCTGTGAAGATTGGGGACCTGTTCAATGGGCGGTACCACGTGGTGCGCAAGCTGGGCTGGGGCCACTTCTCCACAGTCTGGCTCTGCTGGGACATCCAGTGAGTGTCCCCTTTGCCCCCTGGGTCCCAATGCCAGCTGGGATCCTGCCTCTGGGATTGGATGGGGCCACCACGATGTCCCCATGGGTCTAGCTGGAACTGGCAGCTGACACAGGTCTTGGCATTGCAGGCGCAAGCGCTTCGTGGCCCTGAAAGTGGTTAAGAGCGCAGGGCATTACACGGAGACAGCTGTGGATGAGATCAAGCTCCTGAAATGTGTGAGACAGCTCCCTTATCAACTCCCATCTCTCTGGGAACTGCCTGGGGCCTGGCAATGTGGGTGCGAGGCTTGCCGGGGCTCCTGGGGAGGGGCGGGCTTCCACTGGCTCTGACTCTCTGGAAGGACCTGGAGGAGCTGGCAAGGGAGGGGCAGGCAGCTTTCCTGCCAGCAGCCTGCTGCTGGAATGGGAGAGGGGGCTGCTGCTGCTGGGAGCAACTGGTGAGGGGAGGCTGGAGCCATCCACGGCCCCTTGGTTTTTGGTCCAGGTCCGAGACAGTGACCCCAGTGACCCCAAAAGAGAGACCATTGTTCAGCTCATCGATGACTTCAGGATCTCAGGGGTTAATGGAGTCCATATCCTTTGTAGGCTGAGCAAAGCACTGTGGCAGTGCAGGGGCCAGCTTGTGCCTTCCTGGCTACTAGGGCCTCAGTTTAGGAATCTGCACGATGGAGTTATATACCTTCCAATGACACTTGTCTTTGAAATACCCTACTTTTTTACGGGGGCAGGGTGGGTAACCAGGTTGCCGAGTAACCCCCAAGCAGCAGGGGTCACCTCTGTGACACACCTGGGCATTGCAGTGGGGCTGATCTGAGAGGCTGTGTCTGTTCCTCAAGTGCCTTTTCTCTAGGATGACCACAGAATGTACCATCCCAATAAGCATTACCTGGCTATGACAGGGACACAATGACACCTGGATGGTGGTGATCGCCAGGACCACCCAGGCCCAGCCCCGCACTGCCTGAGCCTCACAGCTCCCCCGTCCCAGCTGAGGGTGAGTGGGATCTGTGTCCCAGCTGTGTGCCTGCCAACCACCCTTCACTCCGAGTCCCAGATGTGTGCATGGTGCTAGAGGTCCTGGGCCACCAGCTCCTCAAGTGGATCATCAAGTCCAACTACCAGGGCCTGCCTGTGCCCTGTGTGAAAAGCATTGTGAGACAGGTGCGTGTCCCAGGCCTGGTGTGCACAGCATTGGGAGGTGGCCTGGGCAGGGCTGGCGGAGCTCAGGAGTGGCTCTCCCCAGGTGCTAAATGGCCTGGACTACCTCCACACCAAGTGCAAGATCATCCACACAGACATCAAGCCTGAGAACATCTTGCTGTGTGTGGGTGACACCTACATCAGGCGCCTGGCTGCTGAGGCCACAGAGTGGCAGCAATCAGGGGCCCCACCCCCATCCCGCTCCACAGGTACCAAAGCCTGTATGGGGCTGGAGCTGGGCCTGTGGGCCTCTGCCCCTGCCTGAGTCTCTGTTCCTTTCTCTCTCCGCCGCCGGTGCCCCTCCTGCCCCCCAGTCAGCAATGCCCCCCAGGAGGTCTGGGTAAGTTGGGCACCCTTTTCCTGTGACTCATCTCCCCATGTCCTCGAAGCTTACCTCCTCAGCCTCCCCGTCCTTCCCAGCACTCCTGCAGTGGCATTTCCAAAAGGCCGGGTGGCCTAGATGAAGGGGATACACAGGGTGGTGGGACACATGACCCAAACTGCCTGCCACTGGGCTCGCCAGGAGGGGCCCAGGCTGCCCCTGGGGGAGGCAGACACCCAGTCAGAAGCAGGTTCATCAGCTCCTCCCCAACTTTGAGATTTGAGGAGTGAAGGCAGGAGGGAAGGTAGAAGGAGCGCCAGAAGCTGATGCAAAGGGGTGGCCCGGAGGGTGACTGTGCCACATTCTGATGTCCACGGGAGCCCTGGGGCCTGGAGGTCTTCTCCCCTGTGGGGTGTGTGGACCACAGGCAGAGGCCTGGGCTGGTCAACAGATGGGTGACAGGAACCCGGGGGTGATCCTGGCTCTAATGGCAGCCAGGTAAGCTGTCGAAAAACAAGAGAAAGAAGATGAGGCGCAAAAGGAAACAGCAGAAGTGGCTGCTGGAGGAGCGACTGCGTGACCTGCAGAGGCTGGAGGCCTTGGAGGCAGCGGCCCAGGCCGAAGGTGAGGGACTGGAGGGGCTGGAGGGGCTGGAGGGGCCCCGGGGCTGCCAAGCATGGCCCCCAGAGCATCAGCTCACACACCACCACTTCTGCCCATCTCCCCAGACTCTGGCTCAAGACTAGAGGTGGGCAGCGGCTCCACCTCGTCTTCTGGCTGCCACCCTGGGGGGGCCAGGGCCGGCCCCTCCCCAGCTTCCTCCTCCCCTGCCCAGGGTGGAGACCGCAGCCTCAGCTCAGGCTCCCAGACCTCAGGCTTCTCCGGCTCCCTTTTCTCTCCTGCCTCATGCTCCATCCTCTCAGGCTCATCCAACCAGCGGGAGACTGGGGGCCTCCTGTCACCTAGCAGTAAGCAGGGCAGGGCCAGCGGGTGGCGGGCAGGCAGGATGGGAGGGGCCAGGCTAGCTCAGTTTCTCCCTTCTCTTACTTACTCAGCACCATTTGGTGCCTCGAACCTCCTGGTGAACCCCCTAGAACCCCAAAATGCAGACAAGATCAAGATCAAGATCGCAGACCTGGGCAACGCCTGCTGGGTGGTATGAGCGTGCCTTGGAAAGCAGAGCGGGGTGCCCTGCCGTGAGGGTGGAGGCACAGGCCCACTCCTGGGGAACCCCAACCCAACCTGGGCCTGTGGGGCAACTGATGCTTTGTTCAGCAAGGGCTCGCCCAGCAATACACTTGAGCAGACCCCTCGGTCTGCCTGGCGCAGCAAGACCCAGGGCTGAGTCCGTGGGTCTCACCCAGTCAGCAGAACTGGGCCCATGGCAAGGGGTGGGGGGCCACTGGGGGGCCTCAGATCACCTGGCTAGCTCCTCCTGGGACTTTTGGGGATCCTGAGGCTCACAGAGAGCCCCACTAAATTCCTTGCATAGCCCAGAGGAGGTGGGAAGAGAGTGGGAGACTGGTGGGAGCAGGCCAGCTGTGGCCCCAGCTCCTCCCCAGGGCTCCCCTTGCCTTCAGCACAAACACTTCACTGAGGACATACAGACGCGGCAGTACCGGGCCTTGGAGGTGCTGATTGGTGCTGAGTATGGGCCCCCAGCCGACATCTGGAGCACAGCATGCATGGTAGGCCTGGTCTGCCGCCACTAGGGGCCAGCCTGCTGGCCAGCAGCTCCAACCTCTCCTCCTTTCAGGCCTTTGAGCTAGCCACGGGCGACTACCTGTTCGAGCCCCACTCTGGAGAAGACTATAGTCGTGATGAGGGTACGGGAGGTGTGCCTTGGGTTCGGCCTGGGAGACGTAGGGCCCGCGAGCTGCCTGCTAGCCTCCTCTCTGTCCACAGACCACATTGCCCACATCGTGGAGCTCCTGGGAGACATCCCCCCAGCCTTCGCCCTCTCAGGCCGCTATTCCCGGGAGTTCTTCAACCGGAGAGGTGGGGCTGAACAGGCTCGGGTGCCTGGGTGCAGAGGGTAGGGCTGGGAGGGACCTTGGGGTCTGAAATAGGGGATCATGGGCCTCCGAGCCAGAAGCCGTGCTGGCAGAGTTTAACCCAAGTTCTGCTGCCCACCCCAGGAGAGCTGCGACATATCCACAATCTCAAGCGCTGGGGCCTATATGAGGTGCTCATAGAGAAGTACGAGTGGCCCCTGGAGCAGGCCACTCAGTTCAGCGCCTTCCTGCTGCCCATGATGGAATACATCCCCGAAAAGCGGGCCAGCGCAGCCGACTGCCTCCGGCACCCTTGGCTCAACCCCTAGGCCCTGTCGGCTCCTGCCTGAACCCTCAACTCTCAGTGCCTTCAGGGAGAGTGAGACAACTGCCATCCTGCTGGGGCTGCCCTCTCCTACCCTGTGGGTACAGGCTCATAATACCCCACGGCCAAACAGACACGCTGGGGCTAGGCCCACCTGTGGGAATTAGTTCTGCCCTTGACCCTCAGAGACGGCTCTGTGAGTGAGAAGCGTTTCTTCTTAATAAAGTGTGAACTCAAACACCTGCATCCTGGAGTGACCAGAGCACAAGGCCAAGGGCTGGGGCAGAAGCTCGTTTATTCTGGGTCTTCCCAGCAAGCCAGCTGGGATGCTGGTGCTGGGGTTGGGGTGGGGACGGCTTAGGCCTCCACAGCCCGGCCGTTGCTGATGCGGATATGGCGGATGATGTCCTGGATGGCTTCCGATGTAGTGCCCTGTCCCCCAATATCTGGAGTGTGTATCTGTGGGGAGATGGGCACACTTTGGCACACAGCAGGGCCCCAATGCCCAACCCCTACCCTGCACGGGGCCCAGGGCTACCCACTGTTGCCTGCGGCTTTCAGGAGCTGGAACTGCCACCGGGAAGGCACCAGTACCAGCTAAGGCCCAGAAGCCCTGCCTACCTGGTACCACCCTCCCCTTGGGGGCAGCAGGAAGTGCCAGGTCACCAGCTCCAGCCCCTCAGGTGCCACACCAGCTCAACCCAGGCCAGGGGAGGGGTTTGGGGGTGGGGGACGTAGGGAAGGGGAGAAGAGGAGCCTTACGTTTTCATTGTCCATGGATGCCAACACAGCATTGCGGATGGAGGTGGCGTAGGAGTGTAGCCTAAGGAGGGAGAGCAGCCTTCAGTCCTCAGGGCCTAGGGAGCTGGCTGAGGGGCTCACAGATGGGCATCGAGAAACCACTTACTTGAGGTGATCGAGCATCATGCAACTTGCCAGCAGTGTAGCGGTGGGGTTGGCAATATTCTTGTTGGCGATACTCTTGCCTGTGTTCCTTGTAGCCTGGAAGAGGCAAGATGACAAAGTGGGTGGCAAATGTAAGAATGTAGGGAACATGATTACATTCGTGTGAAGTGTCCAGACAAGCAGACCCACAGAGAGAAAGTAGGTCAGTTGGTGCCAGGGCCGGGGGGGAGGGAATGGGGAGTGACTGCTAATGGGGACAGGGTCTCCTTTTGGGATGGTGGAAATGTTCTACAACTAGATAGAAGTGATGTACAACATGGTGGACGTACTTAATACCCCGGAATTATTCACTGTGAAATGGTGTCACTTTATGTTATGTAAAATTTTACTTCAATTTTTTTAAACAAAAGACTTAAAACAACAAAAGGATCAGTACAATGTGGTCTAGCTATATGATGGACTATTATTCAGCCCTAAAAAAGGAATGCGGTACTGACAGGCTACAAAATGGGTCAACCTGGAAAGCATGCTAAGGGAAAGAAGCCAGTCACAGAAAGCCACGTGTTACATGATTGCATTTCTACAAATTATCTAGAATAGGCAAATGCGTAATACAGAAATCAGATCAGTGGTTACAAGCGGCAGGGATGGGGGCGAGGATCAAATGCGACAGCTGATAAGTAAGTAGTGTTTCTTTTTGGGGTGATAAAAATGTTCCAGAATTAGATAGTGGTAGTGGTTGCACAACTCTGGATATTCTAAAAATCAATGAACTGCGCACTTTCAATGGGTGAAGTGGACGGTAGGTAATAAGCTACAGCTCAAAAAGGCCAGCAGCCCTGGCGCCGTGGGCAGCACTCACCGTCTCAAACACAGCATACACGTGGCCATAGTTGGCCCCAGCCACCAGGCCAGGGCCCCCGACCAGCCCTGCGCAGACATTGTTGACAATGTTGCCATAGAGATTGGGCATCACCATGACATCGAACTGCTGGGGCCGGGACACCAGCTGCAGGACAAGGAGGGAACAGACAGAAGCTTGAGCACGAGAGGCCCAGGGTGGCTGGGGCAGGCAGCCGTGGAGCCCAGTGGGCTAACTACCTGCATGGTGGTGTTATCCACAATCATATTCTCAAAGGTGATCTGAGGGTAGCGGGCTGCTACCTCCTTACAGCACTGCAGGAAGAGGCCGTCGCCTAGTTTCCTATGGGGGGAAACAGAGAACCCCAGCCCGGGCACTGCAACGGTCAGCTGGCAGGATAGGGTATGCAGATGGCCACAAAAAGCTGGGTTCTAACCTCTGGCCAGCCCCCCATCTGCAAAATGGGCAGAATTCTGCTCCACCTCCCCCAAAGTGTACACTGGGGTGGGGTTGTGGCTGGACACAGCAACAAGGCACAACCCTGGGTGTATGGGTGTGGCCCCGTGGTGGGTGGCCAGGGTCCTGGGCCTCAAGTCCCCAAGAACAGGATAAGGAGGCTGCTCAATGAAGCTGCTTCAGGACTACTGGCAGAATGGGCAGGAGCATGGCGGGGGTGGGGAGCATACATAATGTTGGCCTTGTGCACGGCTGTCACTTTCTTGCGCCCACTCTCGTGGGCCAGTTTGAAGGCGTATTCAGCAATGCGCAGGGACTTGGCCTTGGTGATGATCTTCAAGCTCTCCACCACTCCTGCCACACTCTGAGAAGGGGATGAGGAAAAGAGACTCAGGTCCTGTCTGGTCCTGCTCCCTAGCACAAGCTTGTCATTGGGCACAGCCTTCCTTGCCGCTGACCCTCCCCAAGCTCCTCCCTGGCTCCCAACGACCCACGGGAGTGAGGGGGCGGCCCAGGTCTCACTCACCTCATGCTCTAGGCTGCTGTACTCGCCCTCTGTGTTTTCCCGGACAATGAGAATATCTATGTCCCTGTGCCGGGTCACCACTCCTGGCAGGCTCTTACAGTGGATGACATTGGCATAGAGGTCTAGGCTGGTGCTAGGGACACAGACAGAGAGAGGCAGCTGGCCAGTGCTACCACTCTCTGCTGGTATAGCCCACTCCCACCGAGCCCACCCCATGTACTTGGCTCTCACCGAAGAATGTTGTTTCGGGATTTGTGGGATGGTGGCAGGTTATGGTTCGTTTCGATATTGCCTACAGGACAGAAAAAAGACAAGCGATCTGAAGAGGGGACCCCCAGGCTCAGTTGTGCTGCCATGTTCCCCTTCCTGACCCAGGGAATGCACAGCAAAGGCAGCTCCAACGACAGAAGATGGCTTTAGGCAGCAGAAATACTTTACAGAACACTAGAGTGTAACTTTCAAAGTAAGCCCCATGAGGGCAGAGGCGGGTGTGTGTGTTCGCTTCACTAACAGGTTCTGAGGACCTAGAAGAGCACCCAGAACATACTGAACACTCAAAAAGTACTTACTGAATGAAGAAATGAACAAGGCTTGGCCACTAACCAGGATGTCTTGTCAGACCCTGGGAGGAGAATGGCAAGACCAGGGTCTGGCTGGAGAGAAAGTGACCACTCCTGCTTACTAACAGGCTGGCCAGCCAGGCTGGTGCCAGCCAGAAGACCTTGGCCAGGGTGACTGCCGGGTCCTGTATCAAGGTGCCATACAAGCCCCACCCTCAGGGACAGGAAAGGGCTGCCTGAAAAAGACCACAACTTGGCCTTGACTGCACTGAGCATACCCAGAGCAAGTGCGGTAGGGGAGCAGTGGCCACTGGGAAATGGCACTCAGAGGGTGCCAAGTAAAAGAGGCATTTCTCAGGACCCAGTGCCTGTGAGTCATGCCTTGCCTGGACTGCCTTTACCCAGAATGCCTCGGGCACCCTGTGGTCGGCATGTTAGCCCCTCCATTTCACTGCCAGAGCCTAGGTCTCTACTCCGGTTCCCCTTAGCTCACACACTCCTCACACCAAACAGTGATGGAAATACTTTAAGAACCTGGACCTTGCCCTGGCTGGTGTAGCTCAGTGGATTGAGCGCTGGCCTGCAAGCCAAAGGGTCACCAGTTCAGTTCCCAGTCAGGACACATGCCTGGGTTGAGGGCAGGGTCCCCAGTTGAGGGTGTGTGAGAAGCAACCACACGTTGCTGTTTCTCTCCCTCCCTTTCTCTAAAAATAAATAAAATATTTTTTTAAAAAAGAACCTGGACCAAACCAAGGCAAACTCAGGAGGGGCTAGAATTCTCATAATATCCATAGATGTGCCAGCTGGAGCGAAGGCAGCAGGCAGAGGTTGAAAACCACGTCTCTGTAACACTTGGTTTGTGAAGACAGACTCTGAGAGTCGAAGCCGACCCTAACAGAGAGGACTACCTCAGGAGGTAAGAAGAGGGTGAGGGGCAGTCCATCACTGGACAGGTCCCGCACAGCCCAGGGCCACCAAACTCTCAGAACTGCAGCACAGGCAGGCACCCAGAAGCTTCCATACACTCTCTAAGCACAAGGATACCCACTAGCCAGAAAACCCTGAAGTCAGCTGAGGGGCCCCAGGGACAAGTATCAGCTCAGAAGTGAAATAACCGCGTCCCCAGGCTCACCTTTCAGGGCCACGCGGTTCCGACGGATGGCCATGATAGCATTGCGGATGTCCTCTTCATCGGCATTGGAGCTCACATGCACCTCTTCAAAGTCCACTGGCACACACGCGTGCCTGGGGCAAAACTAGATCAGGGCAGCTGGCCCTGGGCCTCTCCCGCCCCTCTTCTAAGAAGCCTGCCTGGACCACTGGCTGTAGAGGCCTCTCTCCTGCTGCTGCCCACCCCGATCTGGCTCTGGCTGATAGGAGACTGGGCCCACCTGTGAGAACTGACGGGAATCTGCTTGACATCTACAACATAGTTAGCAGGACTGGTGCCACCTTCCCAGTGCCCAGGCCAGCCTGGTGGGATCACCAGCACCGGGATGAAAGGCCTGAGTTTATAGCCCTCCTGCCACTGGCTTACTGGGTGCTTGGGCAAAGTCCCAACCAGTGAGCTTCTAGACTTACTGACCCTCTGGCCCAAAGTTCTTAGGGCAGCTCCCTGGCTGGGCCTGAGGCACAACCTGCCCTAGGGGGAGGCGGGCCTGGGGGTGCTGTACCTGAACACAGATTTGACGTGCAACATGAGCTCTGGCCCAATGCCGTCTCCTGGAATCATGGTCACCGTGTGTCGCCCACCATACTTAGCTGATGGAGGCTGGAAGGAGGGGGAGGGTGAAGGCAGGCCTTTTGTTCCCTTCTTCCCACCAGCACTGACCCAGTGGGTCAGCAAATCGTGAGGTGC